AATGAAGATCGCTAAACCAAATAACAGAGGTAATAGTACATCTGCTATGGTATCAAAACAAAGTTTACTAACTTGATCATCGTTCGTTAGTCTGAGGTCATTTTTCGTTGTCAAGTGGGTCACCTGGTGTGGTGAGAGCAGGCCGTGAGAAAATATGAGCAAGGCTGATTCAACAACCAATCACAGCAAAGTTAACGTGGCAAAATATGATTCGCAGGTAGAGAACTCTATTTGTTGAGGAATCCCGAAACAACCAATCAGAAGCCTGCGTTTGTCTGCCTAACTTCTGATAAACAACCAATCAGATAACTGCGCCTGTCTACTTGCATAAGCTATAATAATGTATGTGAAATATGTATAAATACGTGTTGATTTTCATAATAAAACGATCTGTTGCCTGGCCCTTGTCTTCTGTTGTTACACTGGTAGAGATAACAAAACTAAGTGTGGCCCAAGTGGTCTAGTGGATAACGCTTTGGTGTTTGAAACTATGGGCACTGGGTTCGAGCCTCAGTGGGAACATCATCACTCACTGAGAAATGCAGGTACATCCAGTTGACGAGTCCCAAATAGGACGAAATGCGCTTCATCCTGGATTCCACTGCTAGCCACCATCCACCAATCGTAAAACTAAGTATAGATTGTGAAATACTTGATCATCGTTCGTCAGTATGGGGTCGGTGGCACAGTGGTTAAGACTCTCGCTGACCATGCACATGGTCCGGGGTTCGAGCCCACGCCGGCGCACACCTGATATCTATGGTTGGCCTGCAAAATTTGGGCTACGGATATCCATGCTGAAAATTCCATACTTGTACCAAAAATACAGTGTGGAATCAAGCTGTAAATCAAAAAAAAAAAAATTTTTCGTTGTCAAGTTGGTCAATTGGTAAAGATAACAAAACCAAGTGGAGACTGTTGGATTTTTTCAGTGTGTAAAATTTCAAAAAGCAGTGTGTGTGTATGTTTACATATTGAACTTACTTATCATATTTGTAGTGATTTTGCCACTGTTACTGAATTTTTCTGGCCGGCCATCTGATCTTGAGTATTGAGAGAAGACAACTGTTGATGAATATCTGTAATTTGTTCAAAGTGTTCTTCATGACCAGCCAAGTCTCTGATCCGTATATAGTAGCACTGACTTCCTATTGGAGTTGAAAATCCGGATCCTATTTGCCATACCGAGTGCTGTTTACCTGCACACAGACTTGACAGTAATGAAAACTTGCCTCGCTTTCCCGGTCGATCCTAGCTTTGATATCCTCGTCAGTTTCGTCCACCTGTAGTTGAAACGATGTTTCCCAGGTAGGTAGGTAGGTAGGTATGTAGTTAAAGGAGGTTGCCTCTTTCAGACTCCTCCCATTTGTGATGATTGTTTTCTGCTGTTGTGGTGGTTTCGCTGTTGTTGTTGCTGCTGGTCAAGAATCTTCATCACCTACATCTATGTTCACCTGAAGTCCTATCTTCTCTGAATGCCTCTTCTATCGCCAACTTGTTGCTTTTCACTTGCATATCTTCCAGTGTTTCTAGGATATCAGATATATATATATATATATATATATATCAAATCACATCAGAGAAGTCCAGATCCCTCAAGTTGTTGTTGTGTAGATCCATTCTATGCCTCAAACTCTTCTACTAGAATGATATATATTTTACTTGACATGGGAGAGAGGAGTATAATTCTGCGCCACACGCATACAACTGACACTTCACCTCTCTCTTTATTTGTCCACCCCCACCCCCCTAAGCTATTTAGCATAATCCTAACACCAACAATGACAACAACAACGACGACAACATGTTTCAACGTTAATATCAGTAAAAAGTTTGAGCAAAATTACCAATAACAAAACTTATCATTGTGTGTAAACTATTAAAATATAATTATACTTTATTTGATGTTTCAACGTGTTTCTCACCCCACTGTCTTTATGAATCATTCCACATACTTTTCAGTCTGTCAATTAGTCAGTCACTCAGTCAGTCAGTTATACTACAAATTCATTCATTCATCCATTGTGTAACAATATTTATACATTGTAAAGTATCCTTTATTGTTAAAAAAAATTTCACACCAATCAATCATAATTATTTTTCACAATATCACGACACACGCGCGCACACACACACACATACACACACTCCATTCAATAGGAAACCGAGAAAAATCGTGTGGTTTAGCAAGTATTTTTTTCGAATAGAAAGCAGCACCGTTGATTGCCAGTTAATGGTAGTAATAGCATTAGTAGTAATGAATGTTGATGTCATTCACGTTACTATTTTCAGTAATGCTTGAAGTAAAAATTGGTCCTAATTTTCTTATGGAGTTCAATCAAGTGTTATTATTATTATTATTATTATTATTATTATCACAGCAATAATTAATGCTTTAATGTGTTAAAACGATCGATTATTTTTTTAAATTTTGTTTTCATGAGCTTATATGACATTAAAAACTGGGTTTTTTTTTGCATTCGGTTTTTTATTTCATGTATTGTTGGCATTTAACCAGTTTCTGATTGGTTGATTCGACTGTTGCCTGTGATTGGTGATTATCAGTCATGGCATGCAAACTATGCAATCGTGTTATATTTCATGATTCTACGCCATAGAGAAATAGGATGATTTTCTTTGAGCTCACGAGTTCACCTTGTAATCAGAAAGGTCCTGGGTTTTTGACCCCCCCTGGTGGGTGTGTACTGCTGAAGAAGAGTCCCACACTAGGCTGACGAAACAGCTGCTGTCCAGTACTCCCAGGTTTGTACATCAGTGGCACAGTGGTTAGGACGCTCGCCAACCATGCACATGCTCCGGGGTTCGATCCCCGCCACCGACGACGCGCTCCTCCTTTACCTCGCTAAGCCAGTAATAAAAGCTGGTAAGGAGGAAAGGTTGGACATGAGACTGGCTAGCAACCTCATCCTGTAAAAATAATAAACACCATTGCTACAGAAACTTCAAGCCTGTAGCTTGCTTGAAGCCGCCTTATGTTTCACTGGAGAAGGTGGAGGAATAAAAGAAGAAGATATGTCTAGTTCATTTGAAACGTTAACTAACTAACTAACCATCTTTTACAAAGGAATGTTATATCCCTTGTTCGACTCTAGAAATATGCCTTCTGTAGTGCATTTTTTCACCGAGAACTTCACTTATAGACGACCTAACGTGAAAAAATACTTATCAGCACATGATACACACATACACACAAAGAAAGAAAGGGATATGAAGTGCGCATCGAAGATAACAACTATCCTTTCGGCGCGATTTCATCCTCAAAGGCGGTTGTACATTCACATTTTTATACATAATTTTAGATTAATTACAACTATTATTATTAGTTAGTTAGTTACAGAATTTCATCATCAGATGACATTAGTTAGAAAGCCATCGGAAAACCTGCAGGGCGTAAAGGACAGACAACTCTTTTGTCCTAGTCTCTTGGGACTCTTCATCAGTCCGCATCCACCACAGTGGTTTGAATCCAAGACATTCCTGTGACAAGGTGAGCCATGTCGTAGACTATTAGGCCATTAGGACTTGATCCATCAGCTACTCCATAAATTCCAACTTCTGCCAATTCACGAGAACAAATACTCTCCACTGATGACATTTGCTAATGGTCGCGCTATGTCGTTAATTGGCAGAAGTTGGAATTCATGGAGTTGTCCTTGGGATGGGTCCCGGTGGCTTAATGGTCTACGAACTAGCTTGCTGGCCTTGTAACCAGAAGATATCGCTTCACCTACCTCACTGCCTGAATATGGTTATCATCATCACCGACCGAAGATCCATGTCCAACGCTTGTCTTTCTTTTTTACCATGATCATCATAAACTGTCGGTTTTCTCAAGAATTATTACCCAACTATGTTTTTATTATTCGAATTCCCTGTTGATTTCGTTATTTTTGAGTTTTCCCTTCCTATCCGTAATCTCGTTGACTGACTGACTGACTGATTCGTTTCAACATAGGACTTTGCACCGATGTACAGCAATTCGAGTCCACACACTTCACTCAGCACAGAAAACCAGAAACGAAAGTAAGAAGATATTCAGAACAGAAATATAAGGTAAAAAGAATAGTAATTTCGAAAAACAACATAGTTTTATTGGATATTATAAGTCACAAAGAATGGATGCATCTGAGCCAGCCATCACCGAGAACGAATTTGAGGTATATCACCGACGATCTTCTGCAGTCTTCATTAGTCTTAAGAGTCTCGAGGACCCCAACGAGGCATCAGTCTACATCTTCCTACATGGCTTACACTAAATGTTGTAGATTTCATTGACTGATGAAGCCATGTTTTGGTTTGATCACCATTTACTTTCTCTTTTCCAACCTGGCCCATCCTATATCAACTAACATTGCTCAACGAGGAAGGCGATCGATAGCTAGGCTAGGCATGCGTAACACATGTCCTAACCATCTCAAACGATGTGGCTTCACAGCCGCGTCGATTGATTTCCCCTCCTTACCTAGCGCTCGACACCTAACCTCAATATTGCTCACTCTATTGTACCATTTCAAACCGGAGATAGATCTCAGACACCTATAACCAAAGACAGCTAGCCTTTTCATGTCTCCCACTCTGAATGGTCAGGTCTCACAGCCACAAAAGAGGACGGAGTGGACTGCTGGGCAGTAAACATGCCCTTTGGTCGATAGCCAGCCGGATATCACGTCTTCGCCAGAGACGGCGTAAACTGGCATATGCGAAACTAGCCTTCTGTATCCATGCTAGGATTTCGTCAGTGATCCACCAACTGGCGTTGGTTAATGCAACTTCCCAACTAAGTGAAGCACAATCTCCTTATTCATCTTAATTTGCCCATTGACTGGAAACAGTTGTGGAAGTTTCTCAATAATTCATTATAAATACAAAAATGTACAAACTGGCTGCAATAATCATTTGTTTTTGTTTCTTATTCGTTATGAATCTACAGCATTGTATGATCTTTTCTTCTCCTTTTATGTATGTATTTATCTATACAGTTTCGTGTGAGTTTACCTCAAATTGTACAAGAATATATTCAATCTCAGCTATCGCTCAGCTTACAACAGCAACAACAACAACAATCTCAAATACAAGCAAAACTTTCCTCAAGTATCAATCCATTGTCGAACAATAGTCATCCATGTACATCAATTGATCAGATGATCTGCTCTCCATCGGTTCTACCAAAATTAGTAAGTTTCTCTCTTGCTTTATGTGTCTATTAGAATGTATATATTTGAACTGTTTCCACCCCACCCCCAGTCGCCATCATTTCTATGTGTTTCTAGGAGAACATGAGTGGTCACACTTTAAGCTTTACTATTGTCCTTCTTTTCGAGAGGGTGGGATTGGTAGCCTAATGCTCAACTTTCTCTCCTTTCTAGACTTACTTACCGTCGGAGTATTCTAGCATCTGGGAATCGAAACTTGATCAAGTTTGGTGTGAGTAGCATTGGCGAGCAGTATTCAATCAATGAACTGCTTAACTAGAAAAATATCCGTAGGGATTTAACATTTCTAATCACTGTATGGCTTTGCTAACAGCTAATTATAATAATAAGAACAAACAGTTCAGTGAAGAGTCTCTTGTCGGTGAATTCATTCGCTTAGCTGTGCAATCACAACTATATATAAGTATAGGTTTAGAACAACACATTTAAGCGAACAATATTGTGGTTTCAATTAGATCTCATCAGGTTTAACTTTAATATATATAAGTTTACAAATAAAAATTCAAATATAAACCAATCATGGTGTTTTGTTTGTAGGATAATAAGATGGTGAATGTAAATTGTGCAATTAGTCATAAAAGTAGTAATGATAATAATAATGGTTTTATCAATAATAAGGATGAAAAAGTGAGGCAATCTGTGATAACACAAATAATGAAAAACAGCGTGATTAAACAAACAAATGTTCAGCTATAAGTAGTCGATAAAGGCTAATAAAAACAAATGAACCGATTAAGTAATGTTAGATTGTAAGGGAAGGAAATGAAACACGTTTATAATGAAGATGTGATAAGATTAAGCGATGATAAGAAAGGGGTTGAAAATATAAATAAGGGGTGGTGTAGAAGTCATTAGTTGGTTATGTCTTATTAGGCCAATAAGGGAGGGATAATGGCTGTACGAACTTCTTTTGAATGCATAGTTTAGAGGCTTAATAGTTTGAATGCCCATCGCCTGCCTCAGCTGTGTGCAGTAGACGAATACGAAGTCTATTGGAAAGATTCGGTGGGATAGGATGAATTACTTTGAAGGCTTTCGTTTCCTCGACTACATGACCAAAATCAATTAAATGTGACAGAATTGAGCTACGGATTGTTTTTGTCTGTCCTTTGCCAAACCACGATGGGAGATGTTCACTAACACGTTGGCTAAGCTGTCTTGTAGTACGCCCAACATAACTGTCACCGCAGGTGCAGTTGAATTGATAAATGCACACAGATGTGACAAAACTATCAGCTTATCCTCCGTTTGCGTCCCAAGCATTCGTCTGCCAGAGAATGACAAACATAGGTGTGCTGCTTAAAACGTTCTTCATATACTCCTAGAAAGTCTTTGGAGTAGAATCTCACTTGATAAGTCACCATTAAATTGTAATAAATAGAGGCTTTTTACGTGCAGTCAGATTTTCAGGTTTTCTCTGATGTTTTCATATGTTTCTTTATGAAACTACTCGGATAGCCCATCTCCATCAAGGAATCGTGAATCGTGTAAGAGGTCATCCGTACATATCTTTCTTGCTCTGTTCATAAGACCTTTAACAACATTTCTTTTATATTTAATGGGCACGTAACTCAAGAAGTGTGTGTATTGTTCTGTGAATGTCCTTTTTCTGTACACGCTTCTCCCAAGTGACTCATTGTAGGGATTTTGTTTGATTGTGTGGAGGATTTCGTTAGAGAATCATTGGAAAAAACCATCCGAGAGTACTGGACAGCTGTTTCGTTCTAGTCTCTTGGGACTGTTCATCAGTATGCACACAACGCCGCCTGTACTCGAACCCAGGACGTCCTGGTTATCAGTCCAGGAACCTCGCCGTAGACTATTAGGCCACCGGGTGTCGACCCAATGACCATTCCATGAATTCCAACTTCTGCCAATTTACGACGTAGCACAACCACTTTGCAATGTCTTCGATGAGTGACTCTCCTCACTTTCACCCTGTTCTACCTTACTGGTCATCGAAGACATTGTGAATTGGTGACGCCATGTCGTGACTTAGCAGAAGTTTGACTATATATATATATATATATATATATATATATATATATATATAATTGTTTTTGTATATGTGTGTACACTATTTTTTGTTAAACAAAAGTAGAAAAATTAGTTTGGGTTATTATTTACGTCATCAAAGTATTTGAAAAAATGTGACAAATAATCATATTGTAACAAGGTAGGTAGGCGAAGATTATTAGGTTTTGTTTAACTTGACGTAATATGGAAAATGCCCGCAACAAAAAACACCGGATGTTAATGAAAGAGCATTGAAACAAGTGTCAAAACAAATTACGTAATAGGTGAAGAAAGCACACAGAGCGCTAGTTAGGAAAATGATGGAGATAAATGTCACTAGAAAAATGCGTGAAATACTATTGATAAAAAAATATTGATAACATTTGAAATTCAAATTATATGGTTGGAAGCAATCGGTCACAGGAAGCCTTGGATCTAGGTTTTATGCTAGTTGTAACTCACCAACCAGCAAGGCGTATTTGCAACCTTAAAGGAGTTCATGTCCCTTTTGAGGTTGTCGACACGCCTTGCTAACGAGTGCCGACTAGCATGCAACCTGGGTTCAAGTTGTCCTGCCGATTACCTCCAACAGTCGAATATATCATCAAACCAGAAACTTGGCGGGTCGGTCACTAAGAATATTTCCAACAGCCTGTTGCAGACCTTTATCAACTAACAACTGTCTTCGCTCTATACTGAAGATCAGATGGCCGGGCTGGAAAGAACCACCAACAAGAAACTATGAGAACAAACAGAACAAGAACCAATCGCCAGACAACAAATATGCAGGAGAAAGTGGAGATGGATTGGACACTCACTCGCTGAAGAGGCCACCGCTGGGTGACATCGCGCGCGCGTCAGGCCATTGCTCGAGTGGAACCACCAGGCCGAAAGGGAAGCGGCGAGTGGGACGTCGGTGCAAGGGTGACATGGAGGAGATGGTGTGAAGAGGAGTTGAAACAGTATGGATTAACATGGATGCATGTGAAAAGTACAGCAGAAGCAAGACAGAAGTGGCAATTGGAGACGTGCAGTTGTAGCCCTATGTTCCAATAGGAATCCAAGGGATTAATAATAAATAATAATAATCATGTGAACCACGTACTGGCGAGCTACGTGGAATGGTGGCCACATTGTAAACGTGACTGACAGAATTCTGTCTGCACCAAAGAAAAGACTAGACGTATTACACTATTTACCGACTAGTTTCCAATCACAAGAACTTGGAATTATATTCAAGTTGGGAGGACAAGTCCAGAATTTTCCTCTGTGTGTACACGTGTTCTATCCGAATTTCTAATGCCTGGTTAATTCAAAGTATACGGAAGCTTACCGTTGAAAGAATTCTCTTTGCTTATAAAAAGTCACCGGTGTTGATTACATGTTCAGCTACATCACTCTTTATCGTTCCACCGCTACATTTTCGTAGCCAAGCGGGATAATGTTCTTTGACTTTTTCAGATAAAACCCACATCGAACGACCTATGTATCTTACTTACTTACTTTACTTTACTTCGGCTATCTCCTACGGGAGGATGAGCCGGCTTCATGAACGTCTCGAATCATCGCTGCCCAGGCGCGGCGATCTGAAGCAAGGTTTTGTGATAGGGATATCCAATTCTTGTTCCACATACGGAGTCCGTAGACGGTTTGTAGCCCCAGGCACTCCATATCTGCCTTGACTGTACCAAGCCATGTCTTCAGCTGTCCGCCCCTGCGACATCGCCAAGATGGTAATGGCGAGGGATTTAGAACTGATTTGACCAGATCGTCATCTGGTCGGCGCAGAACATGGCCAAACCACCGAAGGCGGCGTTGTTGGACCAGTACTGGAATTTGGTTGATGTTGTAGCAACGACGACGCACTTCTTCGTTGGAGAGTTTGTCCTGCCAACGAACATGCAGAATGTACCTGAGACACCAATGGTCTAATACCTCGAGTCTGCGTAAATCTTCCGCGCGAAGAGGCCAGGTTTCACAGCCATACAGGAGAACGGGTCGTATGGAAGCTTGGTAGACCCGAATTTTAGTCCTGAGACTGATTTCTCTCTTGCTCCATAGAACGCTCCTCAGCTGTAGAAACGCATTCCGGGCGTTGGAGATTCGCGCATTCACTTCGTTTTTCGCTTGGCCGTTGGGGAGCATTATGGATCCCAGATATCTGAAGGATGGCACAATTTCAATAGGTGCTCCATTTAGGGATAAGATTTCATCATTGCTGGTGGATGTGTTCGAAAACATTTTGGTTTTGGAAGTGTTAATTTTCAAACCGATAGTAGGCGCGAGGTGGTTTATCTGGTCGAGCGCCTGTTGCATATCGGGGAAGTTTTCAGCTAACAGCACGACGTCGTCGGCGAATTCGAGGTCGGTTATGTGAATATCGGGCGAAAGTTGGACGCCGTGGTGCTCGGTTAGGGCGTGCCGCAAAATCCAATCAATTGTGAAATTGAACAGGATGGGGGATGCTGGACAACCTTGCCGGACACCGCTGGTTACCTCAAAAGTGCGGGACTCTTCACCGTTCACTCGGACTCGAGCTTTGGTGTTGGAGTAGTATGACCTGAGCAGGTTGATTAGCTTGGTCGGAACTCCGTCGAGCTCCATTAGATACCAGAGTGCTCCTCGATCAACTGAGTCGAATGCCGCTTGGAAGTCGATGAAGCAAGCAACCGTCGGCTGTTGGAATTTGTCCCTGTGTTCCAAAATTCTTCGCAGTGTGAATAATTGATCAACACAGCCTCTTCCAGGTCGAAATCCGGCTTGATTTGGCCTTGTTCGCACGTGGCGTTCGGCCGCGAAGCGGTTCAGGAGAATGGAAACAAAAACCTTAGCAGCGATATCAATCAGACTTATGCCTCGGTAGTTCTCGCATATTGACCTGTCTCCCTTTTTGTGGAACGGTAGCAGAACTGAGGTGCTCCAATCGGAAGGAATGGTTTCGGACT